GGAATCTTGTGGAAGATCTTAATTTAAATCTCAATAGAGAGAGAGTAAAGGAAAGAGAGGGAAAGAAGGAAAGAGAGAGAGAGAGTGAAGGAACGAGAGAAAGAGAGAGAAGCTGGAAGTTGATGACAGAAATAAAAGTTCTTTTCTTATTAAATGAGGCCGCACATCATTATCGCCTTAGTTAATCAGTTGCAGCAATACAATGTTATTGTTATTCTCGTTGTCTTTGTTATTGTTATGATTGTTGTCAAGGTTATTAGTACTCTTGTTGTTATTGTTAGCATCATTATTATCAACCCTTTCATTGATGTTATGAAAATTATGATAAAAGTAACGAAAATTATCGTTGTTATTATCATAATTTCCATAATAACCATTTTGGTCATTTTCATTATTCTTCCTACCATTGCATTTTCATTGCTTTCATTATAAGCATCTTCAATACCATTACGATTATTAATAATTAACAGCACCAGCATCATCATGATTAATTATCAACATCAACGTTTTTATTGCCACTATATTATTAAATATTATAGTCATTAGTATCATCACCGCTATTGCTGTTATCATTATCATCGTATCAGAATCATCATTAATACTTCTTCATAATAAATACCATTACTGCTGCCACTGCAGTGATTCAGCAGATCCACCAAGATCACTGGCATGATGTTTTGCTCAACAAATTCTTTAATTATCAGAGATAGTTGGCAGGATATTTGTTAAGAGAAATATGAACAAAACAGTGGCTAAAACTGAAACCAAAAGACTAAAAACAAAACAAAACTAGTGGGGATTAAAACCGAACTCTACAGCAAATAAACACTGCAAAACGCTAAAAAGTGAACTACATTTAATACTGAAATTATAGTTAATAAAACACGAGTAGAAAATAAGATAAAGAAGATCAAACTGAACCAAACCACAAATAAAACAGATGAAAGACTTATAAGTAAAACAGAACTTAGCAAAAATAAAATGAAATGTAATTAGTAAAACATGCAGGAACCTTAAAAGTGAAAGTGAACTTAAATGAGCAAAAACAAAACTGAATAAAGATAATAAAACGCGGGAGGAGACTGAAAACTGAAGCAGATCTTAAATAGAATAAATAAAATAAAATAATCTGGAAGAGAAAAAAAAGACTACGACAAATGACATAACTTTTATAGTTCTTATTCATAATAACAAACAATCTATAAATTCTTTAAACTGTTTTGGTTCGCAGGACCTTATAATATTCAAATAAAAATCATGAAATGAAAACAGAAAAACACAAAACGAAACGAAAATAGAAAACGGGAGTATATAAAATGCAAATCAAAAGGGCAAATAAAAATTATCCAACAAAGCAAAAGCAAGGACTAGATTACGTTTGTTTAAAATGACAGACACTAAAATATTTCAATACAAAAGAAAAAGAAAGTTCCTTAAACCAATATATCTAACAAACTTGAAATCTAGGGGACGCTACCAATTTCGGGGGTAAACTCCTTACCCTGAGCACCACTTTGAATAACGTATTTATGACTGGTATAACGATTACACAGTAACGAGTGTTGATAAATTCTCTATGGACATTACGAAAGTGGTCACCGATTACTACAACACCTGGGTCTGTCCAAAGAAAACCTTCAAGAGCAACATCTCACAACGCTCCAGACAACCTACGTAGGTCGGTGACCCTACACTATTAAGGGAACAAAAGCACGTTCACGAGCTTTTTGATATCTACAAGCAGGACAATACCCGTGACAATCATATTCAGCGCTAACAAAAATCTATGGGAATTAGAAATTCATTTCAGAAATGAACACTGAACAGTTCAAATACTAGTAACACCAAAGTAGGACGTCACCAGGATTCCTCCTGTGTTCTGGACGATTTTACGGGGATAAACTCCCTCACGTGGGTTGTCCAGAGTGTATGTGATGTGTGTAGATGTATACTCACCAAATTGTGTCAGATACTATGGTCAAGGCATCTAGATAAAAACAATGTTTAGTAAAAGTTACGAATATTGAGTGTAATGCCAGGGTAACAGGGTGTTGCACGGACGCTGACCTGGCGCTCGCACCCTCCCCGCGCCCGACCGCAGGGAATTAATCACCGTAGAAGTGGACAACTACCTCGTCACTGTCCTGTCATGGAAGGGGAGGGGGACGTGCTCCCGCATTGCCATCTACCACCCCCTCATCCCTCCACCCTATGGGAGGGATTGATTTTACTGAACATAGGGAAATGAACGGTGTGGATTCGCCTGTCGACCCCGATGTGGATGACGAGGGATTCCAACTCGTTCAAAAGAAGAGCAAGACAATGAAGACCACGTCGCAACACCACATCAATAACATGACCGATAATGCAACCGGAGTAACGACCAAACAACGTGAACCCATCCCCCCTCCCCCCGGGACAAGTACATTAGACTGGTCTTTCGGGAGGTCACGTCTACCGTAGATAAAATCAAGCGGATGAGGAAGGTCAGCCAGCTGCCGCCCCTCCAAGAGGAAGGCCTGCCAGACATGGTGCAGGGGAAATGGATATCCTCTCGCTACGTCTATGTACGGCGGGAACAGCAAAAATACATGGCCCTCATGGTTAATGACATTTTCTTTTTCTCTCCAGAATAATGACGATTATCGGCCTTAAAGCAAAAGATACAGGGAATACCTGGTTACCGCAGAAGAAGCCCTGCATCTTCCGGGTGCTTTTAAAGCTCGGAGGATTTACAAGGACCGAAAACCCCTAAATAGGATCGGCATTGTATGGAGCGGAGAACATCCGCCACCTAAAGACTACCAATTCTTTGGACGATACATAGAGTCGAGCTCCATTCGACCGTGGAGCTCACATGTTGTAGTCTGCTACAAGTACCAGGGTTATATCCACGTAGCAAAATACTGCAGGAAAGAAACACCCTGTGCTGTTTGTGCAGAAGCTCATAGGACTTCAGGGCATAGGACTGCTCTGCAAGAAAAAATGAAAAAGACAACGACAACGGAGACATCGTCACCATCGTTAAGAGGTGCGTCAGGTGCGGAGAGCAAGGCGTGGCTGCCTGGCACCGAAATTGCCCCCACAAACCACCACACGCACCCCCCCCCCCCGACCGTACCCATCGACACCCCAGCCGTGTGACGACACCAACCCTCAGGAACTCCTGCAACTACCAGGGGAATTCCCCATCCCAGGAAACAGTGCCACAGGAGTGACTAGTAATGAGCAAAACAAGGAAGTGATTGAGGAAATAAGAAGCTTCAGACAAGAGCTCGCTGAAATGAGAAAAATGATTATGGAAATAAAGAGATCGAGGAGTAGACAGGGAAAATATGCTTTCTAATGATGTTAGTAATGTTGAAAATACGAATGAAAGCATCAGGCAAGAGCTTGTTGAAATGAGAAAAATGATTATGGAAATAAAAAGTGATCGGTTAGTAGACAGGGAAAATATGCTTTCTAATAATGATGTTAGTGATGTCGAAAATACGAATGATGTTTTTACGCAAGATACCATCGACGAATCATCTGAAAACAGTAACAGTGAAAACAACGCCGACGGAGATATGCAGGAAACGTATCATTATGAGGAAAGCGCACAGAATCGGTGTAAATAAACAAGATGCAGCACAGATATGTAATGCTGTACAAGAAATATGCAGACTAAAGAGCCTCATCAAACACAAATTTGACCAATCAGCTAATCATAGGGTGTGATGGAGGACAGAAAATAATTACGTGTCAACCGTAGAATTGATTACTTGCTTTACTACATTCACAACAATAATGTTGACGTTATCTGTCTACAAGAGCCCTTCACATCAGCCACTAAAATAAAACCGCCCCTAAAATTAGGGGGTACCACTCCTATACGAACACAGTAATGATAGGCCTAATGCCTTCTGCCAGTAACACCATCCCGCATAAACTTGTGCAGAAGTCTGATGACAATAATGTGCAATATCAGCATTTACATATTCAAACAGCCTCTGGGTTTTTCTCTCTGTACAATGTATACGCAAGGTGTAGAAAGTTTCAAACTGATTTGCTGCCCTACTTTCAGAATCACGGCACAATATGCATGGGGGATTTCAATGCTAGACATTATACATTTAGAGGCAGTCAATGCAATGAAAACGGCGACGAGTTCCGAAATTTTGTGAACAATAGATCTATGACCGTATATAATACAGACAGGGAAACTCACGTGGCGGGGGGCAGGCTAGATTATTTAATAAGAAGGGATCTTGTGCATGGAAACGTCAGAAGCATGCTTGCAACAGAGGTAATCAGTGACCACTCTGCAATAGTAACGAGATACGCTGTTGATAAGAGTCTATCTGCAAAAACAAATAGGCTCAAAATTTCTATTCCTCCTTACCTTGAGCACCACTTTAAATCACATATTTATGACTGGTATAACGATTACACAGTAACGACTGTTGATAAATTCTCCATGGTCATGGCGAAAGTGGTCACTGGTTACCATAACACCTGGGTCTATTCAAAGAATACCTTAAAGAGCAACAACTCACAACGCCTAAAACAACCTAAGTGGGTCAATGACCCTACACTATTAAGGGAACAAAAGCGAGTTCAGGAGCTTTTTGATATCATGGACAATACCCATGACAACCTTATTCAGTTTCTTAAGGCTAGCAAAAATCTACGGGAATTAAAAGCTCATTTCAGAAAAGAACACTTTGAACAGTTCCTGCAAAACATTAACAATAACACCTCAATGGTCTGGAAAAAAAATCAATCGACTCTCAGACAAACCAACTAACAACACACCCCGCAGTTCCATAGTCCTCTTGCGCAAGCAGACATGCTCCTTAGCCAATGGGCTGGAGCGTCCGAATTGAGCTCACTTCCCACAAATATTCAGAATCACCTTAGTCATACTAAAACTGCACGTAAATTTGCCATTGAGATTGGATGTTCTGAGACCGACCCTTCAGACTTTGCTGAGATTACTGAGTGGGAACTGAACAATG